CGTGTTTAAATTGTTAAAAACACGTTTGAAACGTAAGTTTATAATTTATGTAAAAACAGATTTTTTTACTATTATTTTGGTATAATTGTAATAAATAATTTTTTATAAATTTTGAAACTAATTTATAAAGAAAATATTTTAAGTAACTTTTAGCTTATTGAAAGTAAACTTCTAGGAAGTAAACAATCGAGCTAATCTCCTGTTTTTGCATCATTTCTAATTAAGCACTTAAACTCAAGATAGTAATCACCTAAAAAAGCTAACAAAATCAGACTAAAGTACGAAAAGAACCCCAAACACACGAAAAGACAATTAGCTCTTAATCTAAACTGAGCATATCATATATGCTTTTCAACAAAAACTAAATCATTTTATGCTCAAATTGAGAATGACAACATTATTAACTACAAGAACTCTCCCAGTCTTCGGATTTGTTTCACATACACTTCATATATAAAATAACAGATATCCTTCATGTAAAATAATCTTATTCAAGTAAAAAAAAATTATAATATGATAAAAAAATAATAACTTTATATATAACATTTGAATTCAAAACTTTATTAAAAATAAATAAATGTATATTCCCTTAGTCAATTAATCATGGGTTAATATGCGCTGAAGACCCTTCAATATTTAAGAAGAATTACATGAACTGCGAAGTGCATTCCTTCGAAATTTAAAAGCCTACTAATCGTCACACAGTTAATTAACATTTATTTATATACTTTCAATTACTAAAGTCATTGTCTATGAAGAAAATATCCATCATTGATTATTAAAAATCTGTACGGAAGAGTCCATCAATAATTTATAACTTGTTTATGTTGTTTTTAGTTTTTTTTAAAAAGTTTGTTGATATATAATTTATTAAAATAAGTTTTTTAAAATTTATTTTTAAATTTATGGCCTAAATAATTATTTAAAATATTTAAATAAATAATTATCTAAATATAATGCATAAATATACTTGACTATTACGAATCTTATATGTTGATGTCCTAAGACAGAATAATGAAATATATATTGTTAGATTATCTAAACTTTTTTTATTATAGTTCTTATATTTCAAAAAATTATTATTTTCAGTCTAGTCTTTTCAACTGAAGTAATTCAACTAAATCAATATTATACAGTGTGGATCAAGTTAGTAATAAAAACTAAAAAAAATTGAAGAAATTAAGATAAAAAATTGACTAGTATAAAAGTATATTTAAACATAAGAGATATACATCATGCCCCTTGTTCAAATGAAATGAGTATGACTTGACCAAAGGCTTGGAAAGGGCTCCTCATGATTGCTTATTGAGAGAACCACGGCATAGAAAAGTAACGATGATATAACAGTGGCCTAGAAAGAACAGCAAGATGCATTCCCCCACTTAATCATGTATCATTGTGCGCAGCAGCCTAACCCTCTTGTTCAGTACGAGAATAAGATTAATTTATGATATTACTTTTCTTATCTTATTAAATTAGTATAATTATTATTCTATTATTTTTCTCTCATCTCTCTTATATTTCTTTTTTTTATTAACATAAAGTTATATATAAGATAATAATGTAGCCTGTTGTGTTTAAGTTTAATAAAATTTTGTGAAAACTTAAAATTTAACTTATTTAATTAAATAATTATTCAAAAAAGTTTTATTTTTTTATTAAACAGGTTAGGTCAAATTAAGTTTAAAATAGGTTAAATCATAAATTAAGGATGAATTGTTTAACATATTTTTATTCTTTTTAATTTTTTTTCTCTCTTTCTTATATCTAACATATAACTCGCTTTTTATTTAGTGTAAGAACATCATTGTTCATTGAATGTTAATATCTATATAGCACAAGTTATTGACTTTACTCTAAGCAATGAGTTGGTAAGCATAGTGATCGTTTTCCTTGGCTTTTTCAAGTTGAGTCTCTAGCCAATTCCGCAGACATGTGTCACTTATTTGCATAGAATTTGAGATACATTTGTACAGTTATATTGAAATGGTTGATCTGTTACGTTTGTGTTGACAAATAATTGCAACTTGCACACATGTCCTAAAGATCCATCGTAAGCTATCGTTTCCTTCTCATGCTAATTCTCACTTAAGAGTATTGTTATTAAAAGTCAGTACTTTCTATGTATTTTTTTAAAAAAAATTATTTTAACCTCTTAATATGATGACACCAAAAATTTATTTTATTTTTTATTAAGGTGCTCAAATTATTATAAAAGTAAGGTGATAACTAGTTTTAAAGTTATTTTATGTGTTAATTAACAGAAGTCATCCTTGATAAATAAAGATATTATTGTCAAAAATTAATAAATGCTTTCTTGATGTTTTAAAGAAGCAAATATTTGTTATACAAATAAAAAATATTTAAATAATGATATTTCAAGCAGAGAAAGCACATGTTAATAGTATCTCAAGTATAATTTTACACTTAAAGAGTTGGGTAATTGGTAGTTGAATACAAGGATTTTTTTTTATCTGTCCTAGATTACTTGTATCTTTTATAGGAAATAATTTTGATTCAAATTAGGTAAAATCATTATAAACAACTTTTTTTTTCCAAATACATATATACACACCACATTTATTTAAACTTAGAATGTTAATATTATACTTTTAATAAACTTATGCTTATTTAAAAAATCTAATTAAAGTTTAAAATAAAAAATAATATAAACATTTATAATATGATAAGTAGTAAACTTCAATTACAGTAGTAAATCAGAGATAGAGATTTTAAATAAAAGATATCATAAATTTTGTATAATAAATTTCAGAATATTGAGATGTATAATTATTTTTATATTATCATTATTTTACCTTCATGAAAATCTTAGATTTTCATCCATCTCATGAGAATACATTTTTAGAAAATTTAATAAAAAATTATAGTTGATGATTGAAAATTATAAGTTAAACATATATAGTCGCATAATTTATTATATACATGTACCTACATTTAATTGCAGAATCATTATAACTATTTATTTTAAAGGAATCATATCATAAAATAATAAAAGAATTTTTTAATATTATTTTATTAAATAATTATTTTTTCATATTATATTATTGTTAAATGAAACTACATAGTATAAAGCCAGAAATTTAGTAGCATGGTCTTGAGTTGGCCCTCTATCTTATATATTTTTATTCTTTTTAAATCATATATTATGCACTTATTACATTTATTATTATTTTTTATTTTTAATCTCTCCTTCCTCTCAAAATATATATAGCTCCGAAGGGTGTAAAAATATGATTTTCTTAACAATAATGTCTACGCTTATGTTCACTAAATTCGAAAGAAAAACTCGCATTTCGGTTTATGCATACAAGCTATACATTATATATATATAAACAATTCTCTAAAATGGCATCGAGAGGTTTATTTTACAATATACTGCGAACCACAGTGATTTTGGTCAACCACAAAAACGAATTAATTTTATTTTTAACTAAATACATATTACAATTATACTTTTCGCATTAACCTAAGATGGGGTTTGACAAGTTATTATCAAGACGAAAGGGACCGACTAATCTATCAGTTTGTTAGCAAATGAAAATTACATTTCCTTTATAACTAAAATTTCAACCACTTTTTTACTCCAAGTTCTTAATAAATGCAATGTATGTGATCATTGACTTAGCATTGCATATGTTGATGAAGCTAGGATTCCATTCATATCGTTTTGACTTCTTAACCTGATTTCTTCTTTTAGACCCATTGATTGCCTAGCTAGGATTCATGCTTTCATTTCATGCGCGCTGCCTTTGGAGAAGAATAATTTGAACTACGCACACGAAATGAAAATGATAATAGTTTCTAATCCTAGGTTTTTATTTCCATTAATTTGTTCATTGTTTACTCTGGAAATGGGACTTACCGAAAATGATATAGGCTCAGCTATCACAACTAGGACCAAAATGAAAACTATATGTATTTGCAACACACTTCGATTCCCCTCCTCTTTGATATGATTGATCACCACACTAAAGGTGACAATGGCATGATCATGACCAAAGATATTAGGATGATGGAAATATCAAAAGAGGTATCTTACACAAATATGTAGGGTTGAATAAGTATCTTGTATGAAAAATGCATAATGTTGTAAAATTTTAGGGAATGTCTCTGGTGCGCTTGCTTTCCCTTTGGGTAAGAGCACTTGTTTTTCTTAGCAAAGATTATCGAAATGTTTTCCTTACACGGAAACATGTATGCATTATTAACCTTCGCATATTGGAAGTAGCTTTCGTTAGCAACTTGATGTGGACATTGCAAACCTCAATGGTGGAAAGTACGCATGCACTCTACTTAGAACTCCAAAATAGCGCAATTGGGGCCATCCAAATGGGGCCTTAGTTACCCATTCTGTGCTCACTTACAACTTCGGTTTTGTAAAACGATTATATTAGTTGCTGATACAGGCTTTTCTTTTTTGAGCCAATTTGTTGCGCACCACTCTTTGATATATTTTGGGGCTATGTTATTTTATTACACAAGATATTCAAATTATGCAAATTAGCAAATCCATCATATATTAATGAACACATTACCCTTCTGCAGTACCAAACTAGATATTTCTGTAATCGATTGTTGATATTAGTTTGGGGACTTTACAGTATAAAATATGAATATTTATATTAAAAAATAATAATCAAGTCATCAAATCACACTTCCAAAAAATAAAGTCATGGAATATGAAAACTGTCAAATCAAACGTTGATTTTTCAGATAATTACATGTAACTAATTTTCTATGCCATCTTTCCCTTTTTCTCTATTTTCTTAGTATGTTAAGATTTGAACCGACCTTACAACTGATAGAATTTCACTTTTCCAAAATATGGAAAAATGTAGAATGTGAAAAAACAAAACATGTCCACAGTTGATTTGAAATAAATTAAATCTATAAAATAATTTAATTTAATTTAAATCACCAATGAATATATATATATATATTTTTTTCCTTTTCTATCTCTGTATATATCTCCAACCTTTTCATCGGTGAAGGAACCTCTTGGCAGTGGATCTAAAGGGACAGGTGGAGCTGACAAAGCCATCAACAAGGTGAAGATACGTGTTCAAATCATGACACGTGGCAATGTTGACACCCCTGAGGTACGGAGAATCCCTGCTACAAAGGCGTAACTCCTCCCCAACCTCAGAGTAAGACCACTGTATCTCTTCCACTCGCTTTTGAATCCAATTAGGAATTTTCGCCACGTGGAAGCCCCCATCACTTGCCACGTCATTTTCAATTTTGTCCACGTCATCATCAAACACAAATCCCGGCACCTTTGTTATAACATCATCGGAATTTACTATTCTCAACACTTTTGTTCCTTGTTTCTCAAGCCGCCGGCGGAAGCTTTTGTTGCCTACGCGGGGGCCACCGAACGAAATCACTGTCACGAGCGGTGGCCGGAGAAAACTGTTTTTGATGTCATAAGCCGTGAGAGTGGCCAATGCCGCTCCCAAACTATGTCCCGTGATGGTCAAACTCAACGGTTCTCCATCATAAGTTTGAAGAATGCGACCAATCTCTTCCCTCACCATTGCTTGCAAGCTCATTAACGATGAATTGTCACCAAGTGCTGACGTGTAAAGACTCAAGAACCCACTTTCTACCATGGCTGCATTTTCTTCCACTAGTTCATTTTCCATGTTGCATGGTACATGTGTGAGAGTGGCGCGAAGATTCTCAAGCCATTCCAAGCACGTGGTGGTTCCTCTATATGAGACAACCACGTCCCTTCGACCTAGTCGTTTGATCTCTTCCTTGTTGTCACACACTGCTACATATCCCACGTAGCTTGATTGTGTTGCTACCCAGCTTGGTGCCTTGTCGACCCAACTAGGTAGTTGAATCCCTGAAGTTGCACGAAGGTGTTTGGTTACCTTGTAACCAGTGTTAGGTAAACCGCATCTTTCAAAGAGTGTGCTTTTGGGGAACTTGCATGTGGCATAGTTTGGAGAAGAAGGGTCTAATTCAAAGGATTTGTATGCAGCTTCAACGAAATGCCCATAGCGGAGAATTTCACCTCGAAGGTTTTCATCCAACGGGTCTAATAAACCGTTCCAATTGCTCACTCCTTGGTACTCTTTCCATCTCTTCCCAACTTTCTCCGACAACGATGATGATGGTCTCAATGGGGACAAACGCATCATTTTCTCAATCCTTTTAACGTTGTCATTGAAGCCTTGTGGTTTGGTGGGTTGAATGAGGGTTATGCACTGTGGTCTAATGCTGAAGGTTGATGTGGGTGTGGCGCAAGAAATGAGGGTGGTTGGAGCGTGGTGTAGAGTTCTCATTGCGTTGTTAAAGAGTGGCACGGAGTGATAAGAGACAGAGAGTGAGAACAAGCGAATGTGGTTTTGAGAAGCAATTGTGAGGGAAATTTATAAGTGGAAGATTTTGAGAATAGGAATGGTGCGTAACTCATAACTGCATATACCGTATAGAGTGGGTCGCTTTTATGATGAGTGCAGGTTTGCGTAGAGATAGAAAGTGTGTATATGTGATGGTACGTGGAATTTTTCCTTTTGCTATTTTGTTTTATTGTATCGAGAAAACATTGTAGATCTTCGTTACGTAGAGCCATTTGTGTATGGACACGTTTCCGAAACCTCCAGCTTTGTTGAGTTGAGGAAATTAATGACTACTGTCTCAGCTGGAGATAAAAAATAAAATAAAAATAAGAGGGTGGAGAATTTTGAAAAATTATTGGGTCTAATTTCGAAACTATAAGTAATTTTATAGGTGGCGCAAGTTATTCTTGAATATCTTAAATAAGATTAATAGCTATTATAATATTCGATTGAAATGCTTAATCAAATAAAAGGTTGAAATTTTGAAACACTAATTGTAAGGCAAATTTCATTAGAATACACTAAATTTTCATTTAAAAAAAAAAAAGGCTTTGGCACTAGCGCATAAATCTCTCTACTCTTTCTCTCCCCCTATCCCCCTATTTACTATCGTAGCACTGGGAGTTCTTGTCTTTTACTTGTCTCTTAGCTTTAAAATATCAATCACAATGTCAGTTCAGTTTCCTTCGCACCGCCAAGATCCAGAAGTACAAACAAGAATACAGCTAGTTGCCTATGCACACATGCATACATATATCACTTTATAAGTTAAGTTTGAATTTTAGTTTCTGTATATGACGTTTATTTTTACTTTATACGTGAAAACATTCCTAAATGGCCAAATCATTCCTTGGCCCTCAGCATTCATCATAGCATCGTGATTTAGTTGTTTATTTTTATTATAATTTATACGCGAGCATGACCAAGAGTGTGATTGAGTGAATTACAGGAAATTTTTAAGTACTTTGTTTGTTAAAAAATATCATAACACTTTGAATTTTAATATCTTATTTATATATTAAAATTTATTTGATAAATCTTATGATTAAGGTGGGGATTTTTAATATATTTTTAGCTATTTGTTAAAATCGGTCATTATGATTAATGTTAACAGCACCATTCATTTTAATGTTGGCGCGCGACAAAATCTTAGCCACCAAAGTATAAACAAAGCACATTCGTAATCCATCCATCCTATGTGACTAATAAGAATCTAGTAACTTTGTGTTTTGTAAGTGACATTCATGTTAGATGATTTTTCATCCTCTAAAGTCAACAGATATGCTAAATAAGAAAGTAAGAGTATAATTATCCTTAATTATTTGAATCATAAATTTGTCATCTTTATTAAAACTTAGATGTTAGTAAGCATATATTGAGATACACTAATATATGACATATTGCATTAGAGGGAAATACCAAAGGCTCGTGTCCATAGGGTGTGAGCCACTTCCTTATCGTAGATGCCATATCCCAAATCCAGTACAAATTATATAGAAGCGATATATTTTATAGACACCCTTTGGACAAACTCATCAAACACTTGCATTGACTGAGATTCTATAATTTTAAAAGTTAATGCTGCCTAATTGACAAAAAAAAATAAATCGTGGTCACTTTGACTGACAGCAAAACTTAGATTTGCAAAGGCAAGAAATCTAGGTGACTCTTTGATGGTAATGAACATAAATTTGGGATAAACCAAGTCCTTGTAACTAAACTTGCAAAGATAATTCATATTGGACACATATTGCTTGGAATTCTGATTTTGTTGCATGTGTATCATACGAGAGGTGATTTATTAGAGATTTGCAAGCATAACCAATTAATCACGGACTTTTTTATTTGAGCTTCGGCCGTCGAACCACTTAAATTTTATTATTTTTAAATTTGTTGTCTTTTTGTTAGGGTTTTATTTTATCTATAAATAAGCTCTCTTTGTGAATAGTTGATAGATTTATACGATAATTTCTTTTTATTTTTACTTTTTCTGTGTGAGTCAAGGAGTAGTCATCCTAAGGTGTAGCTTGTCAAGGAAAATACCGTTTAAATTACAATTTCACATCAATCTAAGTTAAGTAAAAGAATACTCATAAGTTTATTGTAGGAGAGTACTTTATCAAAAGAGAGTACCTTTGGTAAAGTACCTTTAGGTTTACATCAATCTAGTTCTATATTAATGTAAATTGAGTCGAGAGTACTTTCATGCTTTGCGTTTATTTCATGAGTACCGTACTAAAGAAAGTACTTTTTGAATGACGGTTCTACGTCAATGTATCTACTAAAATAAAAAGGAAAAAGGAAAAAAATAGTAAATATAATACATAATATGATACAATGAAACAAAAAAATATTAAATAATCATTAAGAATACTATATTATCTTATTATTTTATAAAGGGGATCCGTTTTATCTTTGATAGTAAGAAATTTTAGGTCAGAAGGCTACAAAAGATACACGTTAGTGTACTAGTGTTTATTTATTCTTGTTTAACACGAAACTTTATAAGGAGTGTAGCAATTAATATCTTGAGAAAATTAGCATTAAATAGGAGCACTTTATGCCCAACATATTATGGTCCACTCCCTTTTCTCATTAAGAGCTTCTTAATGTTGGAAATCAGGAACCGTCGAAAAGCTTGGAATTATTGAAGTTGGTAGGTCATCATACTATAAATAAATACCCTGCATCTATTCTTAGCATCAGATCTCAACTGGCACAATAAGATATAATAATGGATTGTTCGGTTGCTAAGTTTATATATGAACCCTCCCTTTTAATTACTTTGTAAAATTATTTTTTTCTCTTTAAAATATTATAATGGTAATTGTATTGTATTTTTTAAAATAAGATATGTATGAAATTTAAATGTGTGGCTCGTATGAACTCACTAATTTACTGTGAGTTAGATATGGCTGCAGCGTCCTTGCGTAGAGGACAACCGTCCCAAGTCTTGCCAAATTCAAAAGTGTTGGGGTACCCAATCCAGTATTGAAAGCCGCATGATTTTTGTCAGATCGATCTTTTGATCCCACAATATTCTAAAATGGAATTTCTACATTTTTGCGATTGATATGGGCCACGTAATATATAAACAACTGTCAACTAATGTCCTTATAGTATTAATCTAGTTTAACATTATTTTAATAAAATAATTATTTTAATTTTTTACTCAATACACAACAACTAAATTACTTTAAAATGTTTAAGGCAGTTCGTTTGTATTTATTAAATGAAAATATCATATACTAAAAATTTAGTAAGACATTAATTTTTGTAAGGCTTTATTACATTCTTAGTCATTGAGTTTTAATTTATATTATAATTTTTATTTTTATATTTAATTTTCATAATATTTTAATTGTTCACACTATACCTCTTATTCTATAATTTTGTTCAATAATCAACAAAAACATGACAAAAATAGGAAATATCATTGGTTTGTATAAATTTTTAAAAAATATATTTAAATAAAATATATTTTATTATATTTTATACAAGTATATTTATTATTTTTATTATATATATACTAACTTAAATAAATCAATAATGTTACATTTTTATATTTTTTATTAAATATCAGATAAAATGGGAGTAAAGAACTTAATTTGAATAATTAAAAATTAAATATAAAAAAAATAAGAGAGACTGTAGTAAAGTATGAATATCACAATTAAACCAATTGTTAACTTTGTAGTTGATGTTACCGGGGCATAATATATATTAGTGAAGTGCATTTAATTTATAACATTATATTATCCAAGGGCACTAACATAACATATTTGTTAATTGAACAGTAGTCATTAATGTGCTTAATTTATAATAAAAAGCCATTAAAAAAATATTTGTTAGCTGCCTTTATTGACAAAAGTGGAAGAATGTATTTAATTGAGACTGCTAATTTAGAAAATACGCGTAAGGATTGATTTTATAATTTTGATAAGTTTATTTATATGTTTTTTATATAATGTATCAAAATATTTGTTTAATATATTATATGAAAAATCTGTGCCATCATGAAAAAATAAAAATATTTTAAATAAATATATAATCAAACTATTTATTCAAACACATTTTTAAAATATTAATTATAAAGTGTTAAATACATGATAAAAATAATTTTTATGTTAAAATCCGTGTTACAATAAGAAAAGTTAATTAGGATTTATTTTGTTGGGCAAACACTAATTAATATTTAATTTTATGCACAAAAAGTGATTCAATGGTTTCACTGGTATATATCCATCAAAGCATGAATATTTTGCACATGCATTACAAGAGCAATGAGACTACGATGATGGAAAGTGGAATGAAATTGTTGGAATAAATAAAAAATAAAAAAAAATACTAAAGAAGTATATGAAAACATGGAGTGCATGTAATTTCCCTTTTCTCAACATATAATTGGTGGTCTTATGAGATTTCATTTCATTCGCCTCCAATTAGGCCTTTTCACGTTTTATTGATTGTGCCAAACCCACACCCAAATAATAATACATCTTGTCCTCTCTACACTGCCTATACATAGAAACTCATCTCTTTTTACTATGCCATATGCATTCTTTTTTCCCTTTTCAATTTATTTATCCAAATATTTCATATCAAATTGAATTTTCTTGTTTTTGGCTGTGTCAATTTGGAAAACTATTTGTATTAAATTATTTTTAATGATACCAGACTATCTATCTTTCAAATTTTGTATTGTTCATAAAATCTTTATGTGAGAATATATAATAAAAAATTGTATCTAACTGTCAATTGCCAAAAATGGTAAATACATTGAGATGTAAAGACGAAGCAAAAAAAATAAGTTATCCTTAAAATGGCAACACTTTTGAAAAGGAGAGTAATTTTACATAAAACATACCTTTCTAGAGTGTGGAATAAAATATACATATTAAAGGTTGATTATTATAATGGTTTATTGAAAAAATATGGTTGTT